TAAAACTCCACGAGGGAAGTTGGTGGGTATGGACATAGTTTTGAACTGGCAGAATTTTACTGTGTTCATTGGGGTATTAGGTATTGAGTCCCTGTTGACCAGGTACTGTGTTAGGTACAGCAGTTACAGAAATGAGAAGCAGACACCAGCTCCATTGTGATGAGACTCACCCAATCAGCCGTTTCTGATGAACACTCAGGTACCCTGACTCTCACTGCTCACATTTGCAGGCTTTACTTTATGCCACTTAAACCTCCCTATTCCCCAAGTCTTCTTTCTTTTCTATTTTTTTTTTTTAGATAGAGTCTTGCTGTCACCCAGGCTGGAGTGCAGTGGCACTACTTCGACTCACCGCAAAGTCCATCTCCTGGGTTCAAGCAATTCTTCTTCCTCAGCCTCCTGAATAGCTGGGATTATAGGTGCCCACCACCATGCCCGGCTAATTTTTGTATTTTTAGTAGAGATGGGGTTTTGCCATGTTGGCAAGGCTGGTCTCGAACTCCTCCTGACCTCAGGTGATCCACCTGCATAGGCCTCCCAAAGTGTTGGGATTACAGGTGTGAGCCACCGCACCCGGCCCCCAAGTCTCCTTTCTTTCCAACTCCCCTCATTAGACACAGCTTTTTAAAGCAATCCCTGCCATACCCATGGCTTCAATTGTTTTTTATGTGCTCTGATGACAATAAAATTTAAATGTCATCTTTATATAACAGCTTTATTTTACAGGACACCTCATTCACTATGATTGTAAATTCAAAGTTACTCTAAGAAAGTAATAAATAAAAAGTTGTCATATATTAGTATGTAAATTTTAGGAAATTTCTGTAATTGTTTGATTTCATGTGTGTATTTTTTAAAACATGAGTTGTGATATCACAGAGTGGAGTTAGCCTACAGAGGTTTCTACCTAACTTTCTAGCAGAGAGCTCCATTTCAATGCAATACTTGAGTCCAAAACTATCTTTCTTTTTTTGAGACGGAGTGTCGCTCTGTCACTCAGGCTATTGTGCAGTGGCATGATCTCGGCTCACTGCAAACTCCGCCACCTGGGTCCAAGTGATTCTCATGCCTCAGCCTCCCCAGTAGCTGGTACTACAGGCACCCGCCATCGCACCCGGCTAATTTTTGTAATTTTAGTAGAGATGGAGTTTCACCATGTTGGCCAGGCTGGTCTCGAACTCCTGACCTCATAATCCACCCAGCTTGACCTCCCAAAGTGCTGGGATTACAAGTGTGAGTCATTGTGCCCAGCTGAAAACTATCTTATTCCCCATACCTATTCCTCTTGCTATATTCTCTGTGTAGGAGAAAGTCATTGCTATTTACCCAGTCCTTCAAACTAGAGCCTCAGCAGCCTGTTTTTCCTTTTACTTGCCCTGTTCTTCCACATCTAATCATCTAGCGCTTCCTGTTCTCTCTCCCAAATGATCACAAGACTTTTCCATCCACTGCAGTCATTTCCACTGCCTTTAGCCTTACCTGTTCTTCCAGATGAACATAATGTCTCTCTCTCTCTTTTTTTTTTTTTTTTTTTGAGACAGAATCTCTCTCTTTGGCCCAGGCTGGAGTTCAATGGCATGATCTTGGCTCACTGCAACCTGTAACTCCTGGGTTCAAACAATTCTCCTGCCTCAGGCTCTTGAGTAGATGGGCCTACAGGTGCCCGCCACCATGCCAGGCTAATTTTCATATTTTTAACAGAGATGGGGTTTCACCATGTTAGCCAGGCTGGTCTGGAACTCATGACCTCAAGTGATCCACCTACCTCGGCCTCCCAACGTAATGTCTCTTAATTGTTCCCATTGCTTCCGTCAGTCCTCTATTGTGCAGAGACCTCACAGCAAACACATCTGATAGGGACTTCTCACCTTTGTGTGGTTCATTGTCTCTCATGTTTCCAGAATAAAATTTAAACTCTACTTAAACTCTACTGCTGGACAGTGAATGAGCCTTTGTATTCCAGGTTCATCCACTGTCCAGCAGTGTAGCCTCAGACAACTCTAAGCCTTTGTTTGCTCACCTGCCTGAACTCACTGAGCGGTTGTGGGGCCTTGGGGAAGTTACTTGACTTTCCCATCCAGATTTATGTTGTAAACTGTGTACAATGGGACTGTTTCTGAGGGTTAAATGAGTATGCCACAGTTGGAACACTGTCAGGCACATAATGCTTGCCAGGTGTTGACTATTCATCTTTATCCTATGAGGACAATGGTACCCCACTATGGGGTTCTTAATTTTGTATAAGAAGGTAATGCTTTATGATTTGTTAGTGAAAGAAATATCTGAGGCTGGGTGTGATGGCTTATGCCTGTCATAGCAGCACTTTGGGAGGCCGAGTCTGGTGGATCACCTGAGGTCAGGAGATCAAGACCAGCCTGACCAACATAGTGCAACCCTCATCTCTACTAAAAATACAAAAATTAGCCAGATGCAGTGGCACGTGCCTGTAGTCCCAGCTACTCAGGAAGCTGAGGCTGAAGAATCGCTTGAACCTGGGAGGTGGAGGTTGCAGTGAGCCGAGATCGGGCCTCTGCACTTCAGCCTGGTTGACAGAGAAACACTCCATCTCAAAAAATAAATAAGTAAATAAAAGAAACATCTGAGTACCCCTGCCATGGAAAGAAGAAACAGAGGGAGAAAAGGGAGTTGGTAAGTCATAGCATTACAGAGCTGGGAAGGATGTGTTCAGTCCCTATTTTATAGACCAGGAGGGGAAAGTGTGATGTGTCCCAGGCTTTCATTCAGGATACACAGCCATGACTCTCTATTGAGAGTGGGACCAGTGCCCTGGGGGTAGCTATGGTGGAGTTGCAGATAAGAACTAACACTTATAAGACAGGAGAGAAGCATTTAGTTACAAAAGTAGTCAAAAACTTGTGTATAACTACATTTGGTGAGCAAATGAAAGCAGTCAGACTTCGAAAAACAGAAATGCTCCTGGAACTGACTTAGTAAATGGGTTTTTTTTTTTTTTTTTTCTCTTGAGACTTTCACCTTTGTCAGCCAGGCTGGAGTGCAATGGTGTGATCTTGGCGCAACCTCTGCCTCCTGGATTCAAGCACTTCTCCTGCCTCAGCCTCCCGAGTAGCTGGGATTACAGGTGCCCACCACCACACTGAGCTAGTGTTTTGTATTTTTAGTAGAGACAGGGTTTCACCATGTTGGCCAGGCTGGTCTCGAATTCCTGACCTCAGGTGATCCACCCCCTCAGACTCCCAAAGTGCTAGGATTACAGTCATAAGCCACCACTCCCGGTTGTACCAGGGTTTTCTATTGAGTTTCTTGCTGAGGGTGACTTCCAGTAATAACTCCCCCACACTTTCCTCAGGACTGGAAAGCTCAGGCAGCCCAGGGTGAATGAAAGCCTGAGTAGTGCAGTCATCACAGAGGGGCAGGGTGGCCACAAGGTGGGCAACAGCAGGGATGGGCATTGTGAGGTATTGCATGGGGCTGTGGGGCTGGACATTGTGAGTCACTAGCCTGACCTGGCTGTTTCCTGGTAAGCAGGTGACATAGGAAGCTTTCTGGTTATAAGCATCAGCCAGGGCCAGCAGCCCTCAGTTGGTAGCTGGTAGTGGAAGGAGGAGGAGCTCCAACTCTGCTGTCTCACAGCAGTTTTTGTGCCTCTTGGCGCTTGTCATGTTCATTTATTTTTCAATGAGACAGCAGGTCCCCGACCTCATAGACCAGCCAGTTTGGGAGGTGGCGGCAGAGTAAGGGCTGAGGCCCCAGATCTGCCTGGGGTCAGGCTGCTTCTACAAGTGTTGTGCCAGCCTCAGTAGTGTGGCTGCTAGGACAGCACCATTTCAGTTTCATCGAAGTCTCAGGCAGGAGTGGAGAGGAGTGTGGGTGCCCCATGGGGTGTGTACTGACCTGTTGTATCGACTCCACCTGTAGCTGGTGCAGGGGGAAGGTGGCACCCTGTTATGAATCTGATATTTATGAGGCTGTGGCTGCTGCAACCTCAGAATCCACTACTGTAGAGCCTGGCAAGCTGGATGTGGGAGCCACAGAGGGCCACAGCCTCCCAAAGTGCTGGGGTTACAGGTGTTAGCCAGAGTGCTCAGCCAAAAAAATAATTTTTATGTAAACTAGTTAACCAAAAATCACCCCCATACTCGTGAACATTTTTTCATGGTAGAAAGTGTTCAAAGTCATGTCTCTCAGCTTCACTGGTGTAGGTAGAGCAGGCTGTGTGAGCTTGGCCTGTTTGAATGAAGCTTGATTTTTTAGGGAATCTGCCCAGGGAGAGTCACACAGGAGCTGCTGAAGCCCCTGATCACAGGGCCCCAAAAGGGTGTGTAGAAGTCATTTCAGAAGATGACTTACAAATGGGAAATCATCACTATTTTTAATTATAGCATTTTAATATTGAATTTTTAAATGATCGCTATGAAAAAGAATTGTGATTAATAGAATAGAGTAATTTGGGTAAAATTGAGTCCATTTCACCCATAAAATAGGCTTTTAATCAAGTAATAAATCCTTTAAAATAGATGTTAAATGTGGCATCAGCATAATTAGATCCTAGTGTACTGACATGGTCTTGAATACATTAAGAAAATGCTGTTTGTTTTGTAGACTTTCAAAACATTTGAGAGGCAGGAAGGCACTCTTCCATTGACCCTCAGTGTGCATTTATTTCCATTTTTGGTTGACTGTTTTGTGTTGCTGCCCGATGCCTCTAGTACAAGTCCAAGACCACCATGTCTCATGTCTTTCCTGCTCCCATCCTCTGCCATCCCTCTTCCCCTCAGGGGAATAGCTCAGTATCAACTCAGTCCATGCTTGTTAATCAACCACCTCCATACACCACATCCAGCAAAGCTCCCTGAGTGACTCACAGTCACCAACCTCCGGTGCACTGATCTTTCCTCTGTGTCCTTCCAGCTCTTCCTGAGAACAGCCTGTTTTTAAGATGTTCACCACAATGCAAAGATGAAGATGATGATGAAGATGGTGATGATGATGATGATGGTGATGTCCAGGTAAGACCCACATTTTTGGCTTCCACAGCAATCTTGCTTTCCTAATTCTTCTCAATTAATTTTGATTTGAAAACCTGGCAATGCACATTATGTACACTCTACACTATTGTCTTTGTGGGGCTGGAATTCAGTAGGAGTGTCTTCCCAACTGATACTTGGTATGCTATGCTGCTTCTAAATGACAGCATCCATTATCAACTGGAATACTGAGGCATTTTCCACAATACCAGTTTTCCTCCTTGGATGAAGCATTGTGCGTTTGCATATCAAATTAAATTTAAATGTAAATTCTGTGAATAGAGGTCTTGTTTTTCTATAGCTATCCTCTGTGCTAGTCTTTGGGGATTTTGACCTATGACTCAATCACTGTACTGCCTTCTGGTTTTTTATCATTGTCCAGAGAATAACAGATCTGTGTGAAGCGCACAGCAGAATCTGATTCTCATGTTTTCTTTTATATAATTGCAGATAAGAGCTTGGAAAGAAAGCGGTATGTACCATGAAATAACTCACTTCCTGAGGAGAAAACTTGCTAGCTTCATTGTAGAGAAACCTGATTCTGGGTTCCTGCTGGGAAAGAGGCTTGGGGTTTTCCTGAAAGTGATTTTGCCAGTGTAGAACTCTGGCCCGAGAAGCTGTAGGAAGGTTTGTCAACCCAGAAGAAAGATTTGGGGATCATGTATGAAACAGTGTGGGTTGGGAGACTAACCCATCATTCAGCTTCAGCTAAAGTAGGAGGAGTGGGTGAGTCACTCTGATGACTTATCCTGCTGGTTTTGTTTCTAAAGACTTGACGCTGGAGAGTATAAGTGACAAGGAGACTCATCCAGTCCCAGGAGCCTCCAGGTTATCCCTGCTGATTGTGAGGAGGGGCTGAAGGAGGGCGTTTGAAATCAGAAGGAAAATGGAAATATGTGTGAGGTCTGGCTTATTGTTTTCAGTTTCTTGGCATCATGGTAAGAACTGTCTGTATGGGCTATGAGGGTGCTGCGTTCATGAGAGATTCTCTTTGCAGTCCACTTGCTCTTTTCTGCCTGTGGAACATCAGAGCCTTTGGTTTAGATTAATCAACACTCCTTGGGATCAGTCACAAGGGGTGTAGGCTTAAGCACTGGGTGTCATCTGTGTTGAACCTAGAGACACAATTCTTCTGCTGTGTGCCAAGGAGAAATTGAGAATCACCCTCTGAACTTTCAGGACTTGTTAGTGCACATTCATGTTTCTGTCCTCACTGTGCACTCCTGGTTTAAAGGGATCTCCCGGGGTGGATGGCGGAGTGAATATTCACTCTGGGCTCACTGGTAAAACTCCAGTTTCCTTTGAAGGGAGGAGGAAAGTTTGACCTTGAGCACACTTCTAGCCCAGTCACAGATTCTGAGCTGAGGCTTCTTTCTCCCCAGTTCTCTAATTCTGGGGGAAGCCAAGAATTTCTTCCCACAAAAGATAGTATCACACTATTTCCTGTTTTCAAAAATTTGGCTTTGGTTTTATTTTCTAAGTTGATATTCATCACTTGAGTTCTAGATTTTTTCTTTTTCTTTCTTTGTTTTCTTTTTTTTGGGCTGGAGTCTTGCTCTGTTACCCAGGCTTGAGTGCAGTGGCAGGATATTGGCTCACTGCAAGCTCTGCATCCCAGGTTCATGCCATTCTCCTGCCTTGACCTCCTGAGTAGCTGGGACTACAGGCACCTGCCAACACACTTGGCTAAGTTTTTGTATTTTTGACAGAGACAGGGTTTCACCATGTTGGCCAGGCTGGTCACAAACTCCTGACCTCAGGTGATCTGACTGCCTCAGCCTCCCAAAGTGATCAGATTATAGATGTGAGCAACCATGCCTGGCCAGGGTTATTTTTAATATAATTGTGTCTATCTCAAGTAATGTTGCTTTGAGTATTTTTGTCAATGGTTTTGGAATAACACCAGCACTCACTTCTGTGGACTAGACTGTTAGAAGGCGGTATATCTTTCATCATCATAAATCGTGCCAAACTTTTTCCTAAATGATGACACCAATTCATGCTTCTCTAACAGCATATGTGAGTAGCCGTTTCTCCAAATCCTCGTGGACTCTTAGTTTTATCTCTTTCTAAAAATTCCATCACTGTGGTTAGTCTTTCATTTGCATAACATATTACTTAACATTGTTACCAAAAAGAAATGTTGTTTTACTCTAACGCTGAAGTGCAGTAGGTTTGTTTACACCCGCCTCACCACAGACACCTAAGTAATGCATTGTGCTGACATTCCAACAGTTACGACTTCACTAGGCAAAGGGAAATTTTCCGCTTTGTTATAATCTTATGGGAGCACTGTCATACATGTGGTCTGTCACTGAGCAAAATGTCATTCTGCCCCATATGACTGTAGTTAATAAGCAGGTGCTTAAGTTATAAGAATGAAAATAATAACAGATATAAATTGAGTATCAGATACTCTATGGGCACTTCTCTATGTTGCCTCCTTGAAGTGTCACAATTACTTTGAGACAGAATTAGTTTTGTTATAGTCATTATACAGATGAGGAATGTGAGTCTCAGCTATGTAAATTACTCATGAGACACACGAAGAGCTGGATCTTTTTAACACCAAAGGCTAGTCTATAAACTAACATGCTAGTAGCCTGTGGTGGCAAAGTAGACTTACCATAAAATGAAATGTGCTTCCACAGCTGGGTATGTGAGCTTAGTGAGGATGGTGTTACCCATTGCTCCATGGGTCAGAAATTGGTCTTGCTGAAACTTGAATGCAGAAGCTCTTGGCTCAGGGAGTGAAAAGTTACTGACAGGTTGTATGAGTGCAATTGAGGGATTATGCTTCCATAGAGCATGTGGTTGTTCTCAAGGATTGAGAACAAAGAGAATCAAAGAGAATCACCCAGAGCAAGACTCCATCTCAAAAAAAAAAAAAAAAACATTGCCCATCTAATAGTGAAAGATTAGATACAGTCAACCACACTGGGTCTTATGGTGTAAAAAAAAAAAAATGTACTTTTAGACAGTGATAGGAAAGAAGAAAAAAATTAAAATAGTTGATGTGTTCTATGTGGGACTGTGCAATAAACTGGTTTTAAATAGAAATTTGTATGAAGTTCTTTAGGCAATAAGTAAAAATGCAAGGGAAACTTGATGGCAGAGAGCAGCCAGGACCACAGTTGCCTGTGGATGCAGAGTCTGTGGTGGAGCCTGGAATGCACCGCTCATAGACATGAGCAACCATGCCTGGCCAGGGTTATTTTTAATATAATTGTGTCTATCTCAAGTAATGTTGCTTTGAGTATTTTTGTCAATGGTTTTGGAATAACACCAGCACTCACTTCTGTGGAGTAGACTGTTAGAAGGGGGCATATCTTTCATCATCATAAATCATGCCAAACTTTTTCCTAAATGATGACACCAATTCATGCTCCTTTAACAACATATGTGAGTAGCTCCCCACGGGCAGTCAGTTCAGTGACAGCACCACTCATTATCTGATCGGTAGGCACCCCACTAGCACATGGAGAGAACAGGGAGGCCTAAGATGAGTCCGGGCCATGAAAGGTCTCCAGGGAGGGGATCGTGAAAGATGTGAAAAGCATCCTGGAGTGGGAGGTAGCCCTGCAGCTTAGCGGTCCAGTTTCCCTCACTGATCTGACTTGGTATAGCATAGAGATGCTCACAGAGCAGCCTCCAGTATCCTCCCACTTCCCTAAAGGCTTAAACACACCATGATGTGTATCAGTTTCTTAAAGAGCACAATAGCAAATGTGCTATTTTGAACAACCAAAATGACAGAGAAGTGGCCTAATTTCCTAGAAGTGTTTCAGGGAGGGGAGGTGGTGAGGCTCCACTGGGGAAATGCTCATGGCCAGAGAAAGATGAGGCCTGAGGACTGGCAGTTGGGCTCAGCCACATGGAGACCACGTAGTGCCCTACAAGAGCAATCTGGTGGTGTGGTGCTGGGGAGGGGAGAAGGCCAGAGCCATAGAACCTGTGCAGAGATTCAGAACCAGAGGGCTCCTCAGAACAGGCACAGGAGATGGTCTGTAAGGACCTGTCCCACTCCAATGAGGGTATGAGGGGCAGGGAGGGAGGACAGCAGCCCCACATAGGAGGATGCCTAGGGTAGGGAAGCAGGTCTCAGAAGAGCTAGATTTCAGTCCAGGCAAGAAAGGAAAGAATGTTCCTGGGAGATGCTGAGGCCCTGGGTCCTCCAGAGGGCTTGGAAAAAAGATTTCAGCAGACGGAGTCAGAAAAGGAGTGTTCAGGGCCATGAAGGGGAGGTGAGCTGAGCTTCTTGCAGCCCTTGGTGCAAACAGGGATGAAGGACGCAATGAGATGAGTCCTGAGTCTGAGGCAGAGAGCGGTGAGGAGGCCGTGGGTTTGGAAAGGGAGGGAAGGGTGTGGCTGGGAGAAGCAGTGTTCTGACCCTCTTACAGTCCTTCCAGGGAAGGTCAGAGTCCAGAGAGGTCCAGGGCTCCCTCCTAACGCTTGCCCAAACCAGTGTACCCCTGGTCAGGAGGGGGTGCTGTGTAGACTGCTGTGGAGTGAGGGAGCAGCTTCTCCTGGGTATAGGACCCCAGGCACCTGCAGGATGCAGGGTTCCAGGCTCCCTCAGATGCCTGCTGATCTGTCTCCTCTGAGGGTTGTAAACAGTGTTCTTGGGCACCCACAATGTACAAGGCGCTTATTTTCAGCATGATGCACCTGGCACTGCCAAAATGATATTTTGGCATTTATGATAGGCACAATTACTATCCCCACTTTAGAGCTAGAAAAACTGAGGCACTGAGCAGTTAATGAACTTGCCCCAGGTTCCGTAGATAAACAGTTCTTCCATAGATAGAACTGGGGTCTCAACACAGCAGGCTCCCTTCATAGTGTGGGCTTATAGCCACTGGCTGTCCCACTACCCTTGTCCAGCCTCAGCTCTCTGGGGTGGCAGTTTGTGCCTTTGGGCTACAGTTGAATGACCAGTTGCCTCTTCCAGGCTGGCTCTCATACCTCTTCTGGCAGCAGCTTCTTAAATCCCTGAAACTGATAATGGTGTGGTAAATGGGCCTTGGAGAATGGAGGCAAGGGTGTGGTGCTCAGAACTTCTAGGTCTCAACATAGGCTGTGTTCCTGGCCCTCCCCTTGTAGCAGAGGCACCTCCATCCCTGGCTGATGAGTTCCCACATCTCTAATATCTCCTCAGCCTGGACTGCAGAAGCAGGAGCCCAGGAGATGCTGGCGTGGAGGCTGCTCAGTGGGATGATGTCATAGTGTACAAAGCTGGGAGCCTGCTCTCACTGAAAAGGAATTGTCTTCTTCACCCAGGGTGAAGCCCTCCCAGGAGCTGACCAGGGAGCTGAATTAACAGGGCAGACCAGCACGTGCTACAGGGACATCTGAGGGAGGCTCAAGCTCCGCAGTCAGGCGTTTTCCATAACTTGGCATAGAGAAGCGATTCCTAGGCTCCCCTCCTGGACAGCACCAGAAATGTGCCTTGGAGGTGGCTAGGCTTCAGACCATCCTGGGGGCATGCTTGGGTGACTTTAGAGAATGCAGCTCTTTGCTGGGAAGATCTTAAGGAGGAAACCAGAACCTCTCCCTGTCCTGAGCTGTCATCCTTGGGGGAACCTCTTGGGACAGAGTCATCCTCAGTCATAAGAACCTGCATCGGGTTTCACCTTTTGCCTCCCTTCCTGCCAGCCAGGGTGGGGAGGGGGCAGACCTGGCTGAGCAGAACCACACCCAGCCACACCCCATGGATCAATCACTGGAGTTTCTGAAACCTGGGTGGTGCCTGGTGCAGCTGCGTTCCTTCCTTCCCAAGTTCCTGCCCCCAGCTTTGCCCATGGAGGTCTCAGTCTTCTCTACATTCTGAGGAAAACTCTTGGCCCCAGCAGAGAGTGAAACTCCAAGGCCATCTCCCACCCACCCCAGCACTGCGTTCAGCCTGTACCATCCAGGACCCAGTGCCTCTGGGCCTAGCATTTAGGCTTTGGCAAAAGAGTGAGAAGAGACATGACTGTGCTCCAGAAACAGAAAGTGCTATTCCAGCTTGAAATAAAGAGACTGAGCGCATTGATTCAGGTGCAGAGGTGGCTGATCAGGTCTGACCCAATGAGGGGCTCAGGGTTTCCACTCAATGACATTGATGGCGATCTGGGTCACCTGCTGTAAGGCCTCGCACTCATAAGCTTTGTTGTCATTGTCCTCCTCTGGGACACGGAGGGTATGCATGTGGGCCTGCACAACCTTGCAGCCCTCAGGGGCCTATGGCAGCATGGTGAGGGCCTTGGTGGCCTTCAGGTACACCCTGCCCATGGGTGAGTGTAGCAGCTTCAGGAGCAGACTGGTGACTTGTGCGTCCAGGGCCACATACTTCTCAGCAGGCCACCAACACAGGGAATTTCTAACAGCCTGTGGGGGCCTCTTCTCACCCCCTCTCACCCCAACCCTCTTTTGAACCTCATGCCTGCAGTCTCAGGGGAGGTGCCACCCTGTCCCCCTGCTGCAGGGATTCCCTGATTCATTCACGCAGTGAGATGCTGAGGCAAGAGTTGGGTTTCCCATCTCAGCACTCTTTTGGACTGGGTAATTCTGAACTTGGGACCAAAACCCCTGCTATGACCTTTGGGTCTGGAGCAGCAAACAGAGCAAAGCCTTGTCCTCAGGAGCTCTCCTTGGGGATGACACAGAAAGTGATGGCAAGGATGGTGGTCACAGTGGACACAGGAGGATGCAGGGAGGCTGGGGAGGCCACAGTTTCAGAGAGAAAGCTCTCTCCTGGAAAGCCACTCTCCTGGTCCCACGGAAAGGGACCTCTGTCCAAACCTAAGAACGATGAGGCTGGGACAGAGCCTGGGAACATGCATTTCCACAGACCACCCGGGGTCTGGTTCAGGGACCACACTTGGAGAAATACTCACCCAGGCATCTAAAGAGACTCTCAGAAGAAAGAGAAGCCAGGACTTAGGGAAGGCAAGAGGGCCCCCCCAGCAAGGGGATGTGACCACAGCCAAGGCAGGGACTCTGTGTGTTGGTGACCGGCCCATCCTCACAATGAGGGGCCCAGTGTGGGAACACCCCCCAACCACCACAAGCTCTGAGTCTTTGTGCTCCCACAGGTTTGAGGCCACGATGTTGACTGTGATCCTGTGTGACCTGGGATGAGACAAGACACTGCGCCTCCATTTCTTCAGCTGTGAAGGCAGACATCACCTTGCTGGAGGGTTTTCTAAATGTGAGGTTTGGAGACAATGCCTGGCACACAGGAGGCACTCAGTGACCGCTGGGTGTCAGGATCATCACCAGTGCTTTTCCTGTTCTCGCCTTCCTCATGGGGAGGAGGTGCCAGACCCTCTCCTGCATCCTCCTGCAGGCAGTGGCCAGCGGGTCCTGGATGAGCTCCTGGAGCTGCTCCTCCCTCTGCAGCTTCCACAGCAGTGAGCAGATCAGACCCTTGCTGATGACACCGTGGGCCCCTGCACGACAGGAAAGGGCACTGAGGGTAGACCGGCCACACCCCTCCCATGCTGGTTGGCCTCAGGGATCAGGAAGGATTTTGCAGAGCAACTGGGTGGGTTTGAAAAGAGAACTTGCAAATTACCCATCACCCCCCAAAGCTGCCTGGCCAGGGGCCTGAGAAGCCAACAGGAGGCTGTGGGTGAAGCCATGTCAGGGGCTGAGTGAGAGGACAGGAACAGAGGACCCAGGAAGGGCCAGCCTTTTGCCACTGGCATCTCAGGGGGCATCTGCCATAGCAGGGCACAGTGTCCTGAGAGGCAGCAGCCACCCCCGGGAGATCCAGCAGCTCACTGCTTCAGGGCCTACGCCCACCAGGAGACCCTCAGGTCTTCCCTACCACTGCCCTAGAATAGGGGAGCCAACAAAGACCCCCCTTCCCACCCAAAATATTTCAAATGAGTTGGAGACTCACGCCTGGTCATACCAGCCCCTGAGAAGAGCCTGGGTTCAACTCTTGAGATGGAAGACCTAGAGTGTAGGTCAGTGTCTCATACACCAACAAGAACTGTGCCCCAACTAAAGCGATGGGAAGCCATAGGCTCTGGCCAAGGGGTCTTGAAAGGACATCTGGCTCTGTGGGAAGGGGGTCTCCACATGGCACAGCTGGTGCAGGTACTGGCAGGAGTACAATGAGGCAAGCCTCCCCCATAAACAGGCCCCACCTGGCTCCTCCCAGCTGGAGATGGAAGCCTGGGAGGGAAGTGGTTGGTTCAGCCTGGAAAGCCTGTGGGGCAGGTAAGAGTTGAGAGATTTTATGGAATTTGGAGGCCTATGGAGGAGAGAAGCCAGAGGGGTGAGGAGGAACATCAATCCCTAGAGGGGCCTGGGCAGGCACTAGCTTTCACTAAGGAGTTACTATTTTGTCCATCATGAACTTGTTTCAGTCAAATTTTCTTCTTTTTTTTTTTTCTGAGGTCATTTAATAGATGCAGTATACCTAATTCATATGGCTGTATGAGGATTTTTAAAACTACTGTATATAATGCAGAATATTTTAACATCTTTTACTTGGTAGCTACTTACAATCCTTTCCAAATGTAAAACATAAATTATCAAAATCTGAGAATCAGATTTAGAGAGCCGACATAAAATCATCAGTTAGTGACTATTATGACTCAGAGGTGCATATTTCTGCTTTTCATTGGAGACTCAGGGTGCCCTCGCCATTAGTTCCTTTAGCCTTAACAGCAGAGGTTTTTTTCTTAGGGTCATTGAGACTGGGCACATCTCAGAGTTAATATTCATTGATAAATTAGTTAAGTAAGAAATAGAAAAAAGCTGAACTCATGAGAAAATTTGAGAAGACAGAGCACATAAACAGGACTATAATTCACAATAACTTAGGTTTTGCTAGAAAAAGAATCTCAAAATCTCAGTGACTTAATAAAGGTTCAATTGGGCTACATATTTAGAAAGAGTTGAGACACTGCAGAGTGCACAGCAATCAAATTCCAACCAAAAAAAAAAAAAAATTTCCAACCTAATGGAGTTTGTATTCCAATAACATGTCAGCATTTTCATACTTCTAAATCAAATATGTATATTCTTAGATAGGTTTATGAAGATACACTCCAATAGCAGATTGGAGAGCTTCAATTCCTATGTTTGATCCCTTATTAAGCTACTCATAAGTAAAAATAACCTTCTATTGTAGTGTAAGTGATATGTAATATATCTCTGTATTAATATATATGTTAATTTGCTCCATATATTCTTTTATCTGGGACACAAGCTGAAAGGATTAGAAATTTCAGCTCTTAAAGTTTGTATGCCCAAAGGGGCACACATAATTTTCCTTCATATTTCATTAGCTAAAACAATCCATATGGTTAAGTCTTTGTCCTTTCAGGTAAAACATAAAATTAACTCCAAACCAAGGAAGAGAATAAGTATGAACAATATTTATCTAACATAAAATTATAAAAATTTCAGTGTGTAAACTAACAAAATCCACCTCATTTCATGAGGTATAAAATGTATAAAATGTTATTTCTTTATAATTTATTAAGTATTTCTTTATGATTTTAAAGGCATTTGGAAAAAATGAAATAAAACAGAAATCTCAAGTTGCTCTGGAGCCACAAAAACAGAGTCCACATGTTCCATATGGCATATGGTTCTTGGACTGGGGATATCAATGATTGACATTAGGCATGATGTATGCACATGACCTTGGGAAAATGTTGTATTTATAGAAGGTATAGGGTTTTTTTCCTCTGATTTTCTTTTATAATCTTTTCAAATCAATAAGGCTGAATTATGATCATATTTTATAAATAAAGTTAGATTTGAGCTCCAGCTATATAATAAATTCATTTGAGGTAACCCATTATGAAGGTATGGAACAAATATATTGAAATAAAATTAAAATAATAATTTTATTTTTAATTTTATGTAGCTGGGATTACAGACATGCACCACCACACCCAGCTAATTTTTGCATTTTTAGTAGAGATGGGGTTTCTCCATGTCGGTCAGGCTGGTCTCAAACTCCCGACCTCAGGTGATCCACCCGCCTTGGCCTCCCAAAGTGCTGGGATTACAGACATGTACCCGGCCAAAATTATTTTTAAGAGAAAATACTAATAAAATGAAACAATCAGTATTAAATACATTTTAACTATTAACTATAAATATCTATTTCAAGAGATTTGAGTGAAAATACCATTCTATGTTAAAATAAAAAATATAACGTTCGATAAATATAGTAATAAAATGTTCTCAAAGGTTCAAGGAGCTAAAACTAATTAACAAAAGTTAACTATAAACATCTTAAAATTTATCTAATTACCTGAAATAGAAACTTCTGTTCTTTCCTGTATTTCTCCATTTTTCCCGTTTCTAATGTCTACTTCTATTCATTTTATATTTTCCTGTTTTGAGGCCATTTAAAGAGGATATGTCAGGTATTCAGAAAGCCAAGAGCTGAACGTAAGCATTCTAGAATCTATCTGAACTTAATTTTGTCCAAGTTTTTTTAATGTTTGAAAATTTGTTCAACAGGGGATACTAAGAGGAAACTTTAGGGATAAAGGGGATTTAGGTTAAACAGACCTAACAGGATTCTTACTAAAGACAGGCCAAGCTGATCAGAAATCATCTGGAGAGTGGTGGGAGATAACAAATTGGATCAGATATCAAAGGTTATCAGTATTGGGAGTGTGGAATTCTCTGCAAGTTTCTTCCTAAACCTGAGAGATGTGGGCCAGACTAGGAAGAACACTGAAGGCTGAGACCTAGAGGGGCCTTAGCGGATCCTGACAAGAATTTTGGCAAGAGGAGAGGCTTTGTCAACACAAACATGTATTCAGCAATATTATCGAGTACAGATGCTTGCATATAAAAATACTGAAAGGAAATATAAGAAAATGTTTAAAAATGTTTTAGTGGCTTTATTTATTTGATGTAATTTAAATATATATATAAAATTAAATTATACTTTGAACACATACTAACACATTCAAAGAGTTAAGTATACATATGATAATACATAATAGTTACAAAATAAGCAAGGTCTTCATGGAAATGATTTTAGAATTTCCACAGTTTATTACTTAGTGTTTTATTAGCAGGCCTATAACTTCTTCTACTGCCCATTCATTGCCCATTTTATTAAAAATTCCTCAAGTGGATGCATTGGAATGGAAGAAACACTGACTCTTTCCTTCAAAGAAGGAAACAACAAACCTTGTTTGACAACCCTGGTCAAATAAGACAAGGATCAAGTGGCCAGTGGTAAAGAAAGTTGGTCAAACTAACGAATGACAGTTTAGATTAAAAGTGAATTTTGTTTAACCCAATTATTCTTATCCTATGCACACAAATTTGAGTTTAAGGTAGTTTGATGTAGATGGTCACCCCATTCCAAAGCCTGGGTCCAAATACCCTAAGGGTACAGGAGGAGCCAGCTTTCTTCAGAAGGTGGCGAGAGCATTGCAAAGTACTGAGGAAAACTTTCTTTAAAGCATCTTTTTTCATCATTCCATATGTTGCTCCTTATAGTTGCAACTGCTCCCCTTATACATGTCTCTTTTGAGACTTCTCACTTATCTAAGGCTCTATTGTTCCTCCTCATCTTATTTTTTTTATACATAGCATAGTCTCTCTCCCTCCTTACCATGCTGAAAAGGCTTCTGACTTGCTGTTCTTGCCAGGAAACATTTCTGCAGTGCATATTGGAGTGGAACGACTTACAGAGTGTCAGGGCAAGTCCTTACCCTTGTTTTATGCTTAGGACACAACACAGAAGATAATTTTCTAAGTTAAAGATTGTATGATTTTATCTTGACTTCAGAAACTGGTCATATTTTTTTACTTTAGTTTCTAAGAACTCCAGAGCTGACCTTGAAACGGCTTTAATAATTCCAATGAGACATTTGTTATTTATCCTTTTTAAAAAAGACTTTTCTACTTTAAATCATTTTATTATTGCTCTAAATTTGCCAGGTTCATTTTAGAGTTTTATAAACTGATTTAAAACTAATTTACATTAAGTTGGAATAAAGTTAACCAAATTAATACAAACATATCTTATTATATTTCACTTCTCTTTATTGTGCTTTACAGTTATGGCCTTTTTTCCTCTTATTTACAAATGAAATGTTTGTGACAACCCTGGTGAAACAAGTATATTGGTATGATTTAGCAAACAGCCTGTGCTCACTTTGTGTCTTGGTTTCACATTTTGGTAATCATCACAATTTTAAAAATATTCCCTTATTATTATATTTGTTATGGTGATCCGTGATCAGTGATCATTAATGTCATGGGAGGTGGAGTTCCTCCAACCTGGGCAACAGAGTGAGACTCCATCTCCAAAAAAAAAAAAAAAAAAAGGAGTTTTTTTATGTAGAGTACAAAATAATATCTGACCTTAAGGCGTGTGCAAATTTTTCTGAATTAATTAAGACTTAAATATCAACACGAGCGATTGTTTTTGTTACAATCACTAGGTGGATGTTTCGATACTTTCCCCTGAAAAATGCATCTACAAAATTTTCACATAATTTGAAAACATCCACAGATATGTAGCTATGCATTCAGTTTACGGATTAAGAATTCAGCTCCTCAGAAGTAAAAGATTACATGAGAAAACATCTGATATTGAGGTGGCAAGGAATAATAATGTTGACATGTATCCCATTAAAAAGTGCAGACAGTTGTAGCTATCTAAGACATTGGGTATTACTGAGGTGCATCCATGTGCCCAGTGAGAAGACTTCTAAGAGTCCGTTTGGGAATAATGAGAATGTGAGCATTCCCCTCCCAAACACAGTGATTTAGGTCACTTTTATTATTTCAGAAATTCCGGATACTTTACCACTTATATTAAAGTGCCCTCGAAAGGATACTTGCCATTACTTAATGTCTAATATGAAGAAAAGACAAATGTATGTGATCTGCAGTGCATAGTAATAATACAAACTGAATAATATATTAAAAATTTTCACTCCACTTTCCATGAAATAAAGCATTGATTCTAAATGTATTCTCTATTTGTCAAAACAAATAGAAACTATTTAGTATTTCATTTATAAAATAAATAAATTAATGATGTCTCCAAGTTAATTTTTTCCTTCTTCCCCCATATCATTTTTGTGTTATATAAGAGAGCATATTTTTCTACTCTACCCTGGAATTAAGAAACAAAACATAAAGTATGATATTTAACCCAAGGCTACCACATTTTTTTCAGTTTATTTAATAGGTTCTCATATATCTGAAAAAGAAAACTTAAGACATAAACATGACCAAACTAAAATAACATACTTTTTCTTCTATTTGCTTTATTTCTTGAATCCAATGATATGTCTTCATCTACCTCTGAGAATACACTTAAAACTACAGAAGCAAATTAACATTCTCCCAATTAACATGTAGTGCAATATTTAAGTTCATCTCATTGAACACATATTGGATGAAATTTACAATACTAAAAGTGCTGTTATAAATACTGCAATGTCTAGATGGAAGACAAGCTAGTCAGGTGGCAGAGTGAACATCATTCTGGTAGGCCTTTTCAAGCTGTCACTTGCAAGATGTTTGGACTGCTGAGAATGTTAGCCATAATTAATCTCAGAGATAGGAGGCTGAGAATGGGTGAGGTGATGTTGAAATGCATGAAATGATGACTAGTCATAGTAAAAGATAATAGAGGTGGCCACATTGCTTTGAGAAAATTTAGAGAATATTTTGGGTCACACGGATACATTTCTGCCTTATTTGTGAAATGCCGTCTCAATCAATCAATCAATCAGTGGAATGTGTTGAATGAAATTATGTCACACACGTAGACTTCCAGATCCTTGTATCTAACCTGTTTTCCTTGGCTTTGTAGGAGAACATGTATTCTAATGAAGCTCACTTTAAGGCAAATATTTCTTGAAAATACAAAACTGATAGATACATGTATGCAGGTTTCCTTCTTATATGTCTGTTATAAACAATGAGGTTGTATTTCTCCTTTAGTGTTTAATGTGTTTCATCAGATAATACCCTAGA